TTTGAAAAACAAGCAGGCTGAGAGACAGAGATAACAGTTTCTGGAGCTTGAAAAGCAGAGACTAACAGAGTAAGAAAAGGAACAGACGAGAGCAGAGTATTTAATGGCCACTAGGGGAAATAGTTGGGAGAGGTAGAACTCCAGAATAGAAGAGGAGAGAGATTTTACTAGGGGGTGGATCAAATAATTGAAAATGGATCATTTGAATGAGATCACATGTAGCAGATTTAGAGTAATCAATTAAATAATCATTGTATACTCAAGGAATTTTGAGGGATTTTATGAAGTTAGGCAGTATTTAGGTCATAAGAGGGAGCTACCAAATTAAGTTGAGACTAACTATCTTTGATTGTTATTTTTCAATTGGGTCTTTCAAATAAAATAAAAACACACCCAGCATGATGTTTATAAAGGGTTGTTATGTTGAATTTAGGGAATTTTCATCAGTTCATAGGTGGTGTTTACTATGCTGTGGGATGGAACGGTTTATTGGGTGATATTTGAAACTAAATTCATGGAATAAGCTGCAGTAATCAGAAGAATGTACAATCTAAGGCGAGACAACTATTGCCTAGATCATTGATTTAGCAATAGGATCAGGTAGATAAGGACTAGAGAAAAAAAAATATATATAATAATTAGATGAAGAATGATGAGCTTTTTGGGGATGATAAACTACTGTAGAGCTTGGGTACCACATTATGCACTGCATACTGGGAAGTTAAGTGATCTTATCTATGGGAAGGCAATGGCAGCCCATGATAAAATCATTTGGAACTCTGAGGAGGAAGAACAGGTTATGTTGTTGCTCTCTTCCCAAACAGTCTTAGCTTTTCATAAATATATCAGGGATGTTACCCAAATGGTAGAGAGTAAAGAGGGATGACATTGGTCGTGGTTTAAAGATGATGTTTTTTTTTTTTTGGTGGGCTATTAGAGATAACTAGGGTTAATCACGAACATAGAGGTTTTTATTCTTTGTTGCTAGGCAGAATACTTAGGTGACCTAAAAAATGGACTTGTCATGTCCAACAATCAGTCTTCAGGTCAAGCCCGGGAGAGCCGGGGTAGAACAGAAGTTTAACTAAACATAAGTGTTTTTACAAGATAAGAGATTGTTTGATTGGATTACTAATTGATTCTGAACTGAATGAAAGTCGAATTTAGCCGCCATAAAGACAAAGGAAGTGGGAGGAGCAATAAAGAAGCAAAAGACAATCTCAAAAATGAAAGGCATGGCAATTGGTTGATAAATAACCTAAGGGAATGTTTATGAAGGTGGAGAAAAATTGACACATAAGCATAACTATGTGTCAAGAGGGGGGAAGAGGCTAATTGTATTAAATAATATACGAAGGAGAGGACAAAAATACTTTTTAAAAAACAACATTTTTTTAGATACAGTCTAAAAAGAGAATGCAGTCAGAAATTGTTAGATTAATCTGAACATGTGTGAAGATAGTTTATTAACCACACCCGTATGTCAGAGGTTTTGTGCCCCACAGGTGAACTAAAGGAGAAGGTGACCCACTATCTAACCAGGTGACTGGTGAGCATCCAGTCACTAGAAGGAAAACTGGAAGCAGGCCTGTTGGGAAGGGCCCTATCAGGTTATGTTGGTAACCACCTTGGCCATTAGAATAGCAGAGAGAGGAACCTGGGTCCATGTTACCCACTGCAAGAAGGTAAGACCACATACAAGCACCGCTTAGCACACGCAGAGTTGACGAGCGAAACTGGGCCACAGGGTCCGGGGGTCACCTCTGTCAACGAAGATCTCCTACCCAGACCTATCATCACTGTAGTGTGTTCCTAGGGTGTGAGTATGGGGTGGGTACCGAGCAGAAGGACTCAAGACAGGAGAGGGTTGGCGGTTTTTGGGAATATGGGTGACCCTGAGCTGCATCATAGTCTCGGCAATAGTCGTGGTATGTCAAGATCCACCACCACCTCACACCAACTACGCTATGGCCTTACCATTATTAAGAAATAAAAGGGAAGCGACCCGACATACTGACCGTCAAGGGCGAGTGATCTACAAAATAGGAGTCAGAGAGGGGTGGGGAGTAAGATTCAAAATTAGGATTAGGGATCTTATCAGAGCGGATAAGCAAGCAACAGGGGATTATAAGATCCCGTTGTATTTATGTTCAGCTCCCTCTGCAGATTGTTCCTGGGCTCAGGTATTTAGATATACTGGGGGATGGAGATATGAGACGGGGGGGGGGGGGGGGGGGCTGGATGTCCAGATGGAGGATAAGAAGGTATAACGACATCCCCACGGAGATGGTAGTAACGATAGTAAAGGTCACTAAAGAGGACATGAAAATAACTTACTGGGCTTGCGCGGACGTATACGGACGGGATACTTGTCTAAGATTATATTTGATGGAGTCAAAAGATATAGAGGGAGCAGGTACTGTCATTAATCCACTAACAGCAATAGACCGAGTAAATCAGTCAAGGGATGACGGAGTCAATTCAACTAACCCGTCCACTATGAAAGATTTTCTCCTCCAAGAATGGAACAATGGGGAAGTGGAGGGGGTCCCTGATGAGAATCTCTGGTTAAAGTGGATGAAATACACCGCTAGGGCCTTGGGGGAGACCAATTGTTATGCATGCTCCATTGGGCGACCAACAATGTTGACCGCCCCAATGCCAAAGGCAATGTTTCCCTGTGTATTAGACCTTGGGTCCAATCAAAAAGAGCCAAATTGCACAGGGATTGGGCTGGCAAAATTGACATACTGGGCCAGCCCACCTAGATTCACTTTAACTCCTGGCGAATACCAGTGTTACAGACATAGAAATGGCACCCATAACTTGGGTGATTTTGATGGCTGTAAGGAGATAATTAATGTGACTGATTTAGATAAGGAAGGGAGGGGAAAAAATTAGGAACCTAACCATCCCTCTGACTGATGTGTGGTGGGCATGCACTAAAAAAGGGAGCATTCGGCAGACATTACCAGAGGGATGGGTGGGTACTTGTGCACCAGTATTGTTGGTCCAACCTGTAAGAATTGGTCATCAAAGACCAGTGACAGGAAGAATAATTAGGAGAAAAATAAATAAGTCAGGAAGGAAATAGCCCAATTTGGATAGATGGTATAGGCATCTCCAGGGGTGTTCCAGACGAATACAAAGCTATAAATCAAATATGGGAGAGTTTTACTACAACATTTTTCTGGTGGGTGACAAACAAAAATATGGATTGGATAAATTATATCTATTACAACCAACAACGATTTATTGACAAGACTAGAGATGCAGTAAAGGGGATCTCTGAGCGATTATCCGCCATCCCGCTCATAACTTAGTAGAGGTTGGTTCTAGATCAGGCAGAAAGGGCCGGTGTCTATAGAAAGATAAGCCATTGTTGCATATTTATCCCTAACAACACCACACTGGATGGGACAGTCACCAGAGCTCTTACAGAATTAACTGCACTAAGTGAAGGATGAACTGAACTCAGAAGTTAGTACATTGTGGATAGGGTGGTTTGATGAAATATTTGGTAAATGGAAAACCCTAGCAGCCACCATCTTAGGAGCGATCAGTGTTTGTATGGGTATTCTTGTATTATGTGGTTGTTGTCTTGTTCCCTGTGTCCGAGGATTGGTGAGTCAGGCGTTGGTGAAATGCAGTATCTAAACAATGATGAGAGATGGACTGACTCCGGACTCTGACCAGGGGAATGTGAAAAACGATCCTCCAGGCTTGGTGGATGACGAGGATTTGGACCCTGAAAGACCGCAATTGGATGAAATGTTTATTAGTTCTGATGTGATCTCTGAGATTAATCATGCTTGTAAAATACATTTATCCTGAATGTGGGAATATTTAGTCAAAGGGGTGGATTGTTAGATTAATTTGGATTTTAAGAATAATGACTAAAGGATTTCACCCCAAATACAGTATAAATGTTAGAATTATCATGTAGTGTCAACCCACTAACAGAGGGGGCGTTACTAACCATTCAAGGGGGAAGGCGGGAACTGTTTAAGAAAGCCACCTAAAGGTGGGAGGAGCATAGTGCCTTTGTTTGTCAAGGGGTATAAAAACAGTATGTTTGTGTTTTTGAGCAGAGCTCTCCTTGAATAAATTTACCGATAATTACTTGTGGATTGTGGACCTTGAATCATTGATGATTAAAACCAGAGCTTTACAACCTCTGGTAATGATTCAAGCTTAGGTTGAATTAGAGATAGAAATTCACATGACACCATGTCTTAAAGTAATGATGGACTGTCGTTTCTCTTTGCTTATTTGAGCTGTTCTTGCCATAATATGGACTTGGTCTTTTACCAAATAGGGCTATCTTCTGTATACCCCCCTACCTTGTCACAACACAACTGATTGGCTCAAACGCATTAAGAAGGAAAGAAATTCCACAAATTAACTTTTAAGAAGGCACACCTGTTAATTGAAATGAGGTGACTACCTCATGAAGCTGGTTGAGAGAATGCCAATAGTGTGCAAAGCTGTCATCAAGGCAAAGGGTGGCTATTTGAAGAATCTCAAATATAAAATATATTTAGATTTGTAAAAAAAAAAAAAAAAAGGTTACATGATTCCATGTGTCATTTCATAGTTTTGATGTCTTCACTATTATTCTACAATGTAAACAATAGTAAAAATAAAGAAAAACCCTTGAATGAGTAGGTGTGTCCAAAGTTTTGACTGGTAGTGTATATTATTAGACAAGGGGCCCCAGAGAGTTATGGCCTACACTTGCACGCTACCGTGACAACACGTAACCATGGCTCCCTCTGCGGCATGTACAGTACATCCTAACCATGGGCCATGTCCCAAATGGCACCCTATTCCCTATTAGTACACTACTTTTGACCAGAGCCCAATGTGCTCTGCTCAAAAGTAGTGCACTAAGTAGGGAATAGGGTGCCATTTGGGACGCTACCACAGATTTCCTCTGGTTCTCTCCTTGAGAATGAGAATTGTACCCTATTCAACCCTAGTACTCTGCTGTATCAAGCATAAGAGAAGGGCAGGGTATCTACTGCTAAGTTGTAGTATATATGAAGTAAATTGTATGGTATATCAACATCAACAGTATGCTATTACATTTTGCTACAGTGGGATGGAAATTGCCAAAGTAATGCACTCATCATTGTCATTGGGGTCAACTGGTTCTGGTACTCACAGGAATCAATCTATGTATACAAAAACAGCTTTATTCAGATATGTAACTTCTTTACATTAAAAGCATCAGTACTGTGTCATCTTTTTCTAAGGACATTTCAAACCATCAGACCATGAAGATAACACAATACACCACAAAGAAAGAAGATATGGTAATCAAGAAACCAGGGGACTTTCAAATATGACTTGATTTGACAGTTACTGAGCCCTAACAAATGAAAACATTAGCATAAAAGTATGTTGAAACGGTGAGCCTAATATCCCTCGTCCCAGACCTTAATAAGAGCATAAATACGAAAGATAAAGACCAGGGCTGCAACGAGAGAGAGAGAAGTCCTGGGCTAGGGGCGTCCTGAAAGCATCCTGTAGGCCAGATCACCAGACCTCCAGACCTGGCCTTGTGACTCTCGTCTGAGCTAGCTGGCTGGCTGTCACACAGGGTGAATGTAATGACCCAGTGAATGGCCAGACCCAGGTCTGCTTCAGACAGCCCTGTAGTCTCAGTCAGCAGTGTGTCAAGATACCACGATCTAATGGTGTCAGTGTCTCCGGCCCAACGCTAGCTACACAGCCAGTCTGTTGATGTTAAAGATTTTGACAGAGTGGTCTGCCCCCGCACTAGCTAGCTGTACCCAGGAGCTGCATGCTGCTGTGTCCCTGCCCTCCTCCTCACCCCCCTGGCCGGCTCGGCCTGCCCTCGGCCTCCAGCGCAGCCTCTTCACCGTCAGCGAGTGACTCTGACTGGAGGGGGGAAGCATTGTCAAGGAAACAACACAAAGAGTGGTGACATACTGTACTACAGTCAGTGTATCAGTGTGTTGTTATGTCTACCTACTGTACTACAGTCATAGTGTATCAGTGTGTTGTTATGTCTACCTACTGTACTACAGTCATAGTGTATCAGTGTGTTGTTATGTCTACCTACTGTACTACAGTCATAGTGTATCAGTGTGTTGTTATGTCTACCTACTGTACTACAGTCATAGTGTATCAGTGTGTTGTTATGTCTACCTACTGTACTACAGTCATAGTGTATCAGTGTGTTGTTATGTCTACCTACTGTACTACAGTCATAGTGTATCAGTGTGTTTGTTATCTCTACCTACTGTACTACAGTCCATAGTGTATCAGTGTGTTGTTATGTCTACCTACTGGCTACAGTCATAGTGTAAGTCAGTTGTGTTGTTAGGTCCACCTCTGTACCTAAAAAGTCATAGTGTATCAGTGTGTTGTTATGTCTATACCTACTGTACTAAGTCATAGTGTATCACGTGGGTTGTTATGTCCTACATACTGTCCTACAGTCATAGTGTAATCTGTGTTGTTATGTTCTACCTGACGTATACAGTCAGTGTATCAGTGTGTTGGTTATGTCTCCTACTGTCATCTTACATCCGTGTATCAGTGTGTTTGTTTATGTTACCTACTTCACTACAGTCTAGTGTAAGCAGTGGTTATTTGGTTGGTTTGGTGTGGTTGTGGATGTCTACTTGTTGGCATGGTGTTTGGGGGGTGGCGGTTGGTGGTACAGTCATAGGTGTAATCACACATGTGCGTTGATGTCTACCCGCAAGCAGACGGTATGTAAAATTGGGGGTAGCGCATGAATATAGAATAATGAATTGTATTTCTATGGTTAGGTCAATCATATTGCATGATAAACAGTGTAATATTGCCTAGGATCTAAATACTTGTGTTAGCTCCCTGAGTCTGTCACATACAGATATAATGCACACACACACATATATTTTTTTTTATATATACATATATATACAGTGGGGAAAAAAAGTATTTAGTCAGCCACCAATTGTGCAAGTTCTCCCACTTAAAAAGATGAGAGAGGCCTGTAATTTTCATCATAGGTACACGTCAACTATGACAGACAAATTGAGAAAACAAATTCCAGAAAATCACATTGTAGGATTTTTAATGAATTTATTTGCAAATTATGGTGGAAAATAAGTATTTGGTCACCTACAAACAAGCAAGATTTCTGGCTCTCACAGACCTGTAACTTCTTCTTTAAGAGGCTCTTCTGTCCTCCACTTGTTACCTGTATTAATGGCACCTGTTTGAACTTGTTATCAGTATAAAAGACACCTGTCCACAACCTCAAACAGTCACACTCCAAACTCCACTATGGCCAAGACCAAAGAGCTGTCAAAGGACACCAGAAACAAAATTGTAGACCTGCACCAGGCTGGGAAGACTGAATCTGCAATAGGTAAGCAGCTTGGTTTGAATAAATCAACTGTGGGAGCAAATATTAGGAAATGGAAGACATACAAGACCACTGATATTCTCCCTCGATCTGGGGCTCCACGCAAGATCTCACCCCGTGGGGTCAAAATTATCACAAGAACGGTGAGCAAAAATCCCAGAACCACACGGGGGGACCTAGTGAATGACCTGCAGAGAGCTGGGACCAAAGTAACAAAGCCTACCATCAGTTACACACTACGCCGCCAGTGACTCAAATCATGCAGTGCCAGACGTGTCCCCCTGCTTAAGCCAGTACATGTCCAGGCCCGTCTGAAGTTTGCTAGAGTGCATTTGGATGATCCAGAAGAGGATTGGGAGAATGTCATATGAAACCAAAATATAACTTTTTGGTAAAAACTCTACTTGTCGTGTTTGGAGGACAAAGAATGCTGAGTTGCATCCAAAGAACACCATACCTACTGTGAAGCATGGGGGTGGAAACATCATGCTTTGGGGCTGTTTTTCTGCAAAGGGACCAGGACGACTGATTCGTGTAAAGGAAAGAATGAATGGGGCCATGTATCGTGAGATTTTGAGTGAAAACCTCCTTCCATCAGCAAGGGCATTGAAGATGAAACGTGGCTGGGTCTTTCAGCATGACAATGATCCCAAACACACCGCCCGGGCAACGAAGGAGTGGCTTCGTAAGAAGCATTTTAAGGTCCTGGAGTGGCCTAGCCAGTCTCCAGATCTCAACCCCATAGAAAATCTTTGGAGGGAGTTGAAAGTCCGTGTTGCCCAGCGACAGCCCCAAAACATCACTGCTCTAGAGGAGATCTGCATGGAGGAATGGGCCAAAATACCAGCAACAGTGTATGAAAACCTTGTGAAGACATACAGAAAACATTTGACCTGTGTCATTGCCAACAAAGGGTATATAACAAAGTATTGAGAAACTTTTGTTATTGACCAAATACTTATTTTCCACCATAATTTGCAAATAAATTCATAAAAAATCCTACAATGTGATTTTCTGGATTTTTTTTTCTCATTTTGTCTGTCATAGTTGACGTGTACCTATGATGAAATGTACAGGCCTCTCTCATCTTTTTAAGTGGGAGAACTTGCACAATTGGTGGCTGACTAAATACTTTTTTGCCCCACTGTATATATACAGTGAGGGAAAAAAGTATTTGATCCCCTGCTGATTTTGTACGTTTGCCCACTGACAAAGACATGATCAGTCTATAATTTTAATGGTAGGTTTATTTGAACAGTGAGAGACAGAATAACAACAAAAAAATCCAGAAAAACGCATGTCAAAAATGTTATTTACATTTTTTACATTTTAGTCATTTAGCAGATGCTCTTATCCAGAGCGACTTACATCAGCAATTAGGGTTAAGTGCCTTGCTTAAGGGCACATCGACAGATTTTTCACCTAGTCGGCTCGGGGATTAGAACCAACGACCTTTCGGTTACTGGCACAACGCTCTTACCCACTAAGCTACCTGCCACCCTATAAATTGATTTGCATTTTAATGAGGGAAATAAGTATTTGACCCCTCTGCAAAACATGACTTAGTACTTGGTGGCAAAACCCTTGTTGGCAATCACAGAGGTCAGACGTTTCTTGTAGTTGGCCACCAGCTTTGCACACATCTCAGGAGGGATTTTGTCCCACTCCTCTTTGCAGATCTTCTCCAAGTCATTAAGGTTTCGAGGCTGACGTTTGGCAACTCGAACCTTCAGCTCCCTCCACAGATTTTCTATGGGATTAAGGTCTGGAGACTGGCTAGGCCACTCCAGGACCTTAATGTGCTTCTTCTTGAGCCACTCCTTTGTTGCCTTGGCCGTGTGTTTTGGGTCATTGTCATGCTGGAATACCCATCCACGACCCATTTTCAATGCCCTGGCTGAGGGAAGGAGGTTCTCACCCAAGATTTGACGGTGCATGGCGCCGTCCATCGTCCCTTTGATGCGGTGAAGTTGTCCTGTCCCCTTAGCAGAAAAACACCCCCAAAGCATAATGTTTCCACCTCCATGTTTGACGGTGGGGATGGTGTTCTTGGGGTCATAGGCAGCATTCCTCCTCCTCCAAACACAGCGAGTTGAGTTGATGCCTAAGAGCTCTATTTTGGTCTCATCTGACCACAACACTTTCACCCAGTTCTCCTCTGAATCATTCAGATGTTCATTGGTAAACTTCAGACGGCCCTGTATATGTGCTTTCTTGAGCAGAGGGACCTTGCGGGCGCTGCAGGATTTCAGTCCTTCACGGCGTAGTGTGTCACCAATTGTTTTCTTGGTGACTATGGTCCCAGCTGCCTTGAGATCATTGACAAGGTCCTCCCGTGTAGTTCTGGGCTGATTCCTCACCGTTCTCATGATCATTGCAACTCCACGAGGTGAGCTCTTGCATTTGCAAATAATCGCACCAACTGTTGTCACCTTCTCACCAAGCTGCTTGGCGATGGTCTTGTAGCCCATTCCAGCCTTGTGTAGGTCTACAATCTTGTCCCTGACATCCTTGGAGAGCTCTTTGGTCTTGGCCATGGTGGAGAGTTTGGAATCTGATTGATTGATTGCTTCTGTGGACAGGTGTCTTTTATACAGGTAACAAGCTTGAGATTAGGAGCACTCCCTTTAAGAGTGTGCTCCTAATCTCAGCTCGTTACCTGTATAAAAGACAGCTGGGAGCCAGAAATCTTTCTGATTTGAGAGGGGGTCAAATATTTATTTCCCTCATTAAAATGCAAATCAATTTATAAAATTTTTGACATGCGTCTTTCTGGATTTTTTTGTTGTTATTCTGTCTCTCACTGTTCAAATAAACCTACCATTAAAATAATAATAATAATAATAATAATAATAATAATAATAATAATAATAATAATAATAATATGCCATTTAGCAGACGCTTTTATCCAAAGCGACTTACAGTCATGCGTGCATACATTTTTTTTTTGTGTATGGGTGGTCCCGGGGATCGAACCCACTACCTTGGCGTTACAAGCGCCGTGCTCTACCAGCTGAGCTACAGAGGACCATTATAGACTGATCATTTCTTTGTCAGTGGGCAAACGTACAAAATCAGCAGGGGATCAAATACTTTTTTCCCCTCACTGTATATATATATATATATATATACAGTGATATATATATATATACACACTGCTCAAAACAATTTAAGGGAACACTAAAATAACACATCCTAGATCTGAATGAATGAAATAATCTTATTGAATACTTTTTTCTTTACATAGTTGAATGTGCTGACAACAAAATCACACAAAAATTATCAATGGAAATCAAATGTATCAACCCATGGAGGTCTGGATTTGGAGTCACCCTCAAAATTAAAGTGGAAAACCACACTACAGGCTGAACCAACTTTGATGTAATGTCCTTAAAACAAGTCAAAATGAGGCTCAGTAGTGTGTGTGGCCTCCACGTGACTGTATGACCTCCCTACAATGCCTGGGCATGCTCCTGATGAGGTGGCGGATGGTCTCCTGAGGGATCTCCTCCCAGACCTGGACTAAAGCATCCGCCAACTCCTGGACAGTCTGTGGTGCAACGTGGCGTTGGTGGATGGAGCGAGACATGATGTCCCAGATGTGCTCAATTGGCTTCTGGTCTGGGGAATGGGCGGTCCATAGCATCAATGCCTTCCTCTTGCAGGAACTGCTGACACACTCCAGCCACATGAGGTCTAGCATTGTCTTGCATTAGGAGGAACCCAGGGCCAACCGCACCAGCATATGGTCTCACAAGGGGTCTGAGGATCTCATCTCGGTACCTAATGGCAGTCAGGCTACCTCTGGCGAGCACATGGAGGGCTGTGCGGCCCCCCAAAGAAATGCCATCCCACACCATGACTGACCCACCTCCAAACCGGTCATGTTGGAGGATGTTGCAGGCAGCAGAACGTTCTCCACGGCGTCTCCAGACTCTGTCACGTCTGTCACGTCTGTCACATGTGCTCAGTGTGAACCTGCTTTCATCTGTGAAGAGCACAGGGCGCCAGTGGCAAATTTGCCAATCTTGGTGTTCTCTGGCAAATGCCAAACGTCCTGCACGGTGTTGGGCTGTAAGCACAACCCTCACCTGTGGACTTCAGGCCCTCATACCACCCTCAGGGAGTCTGTTTCTGACCGTTTGAGCAGACACATGCACATTTGTGGCCTGCTGGAGGTCATTTTGCAGGGCTCTGGCAGTGCTCCTCCTGCTCCTCCTTGCACAAAGGCGGAGGTAGCAGTCCTGCTGCTGGGTTGTTGCCCTCCTACGGCCTCCTCCACGTCTCCTGATGTACTGGCCTGTCTCCTGGTAGCACCTCCATGCTCTGGACACTACGCTGACAGACACAGCAAACCTTCTTGCCACAGCTCGCATAGATGTGCCATCCTGGATGAGCTGCACTACCTGAGACTCCGTCTCATGCTACCACTAGAGTGAAAGCACCGCCAGCATTCAAAAGTGACCAAAACATCAGCCAGGAAGCATAGGAACTGAGAAGTGGTCTGTGTCACCACCTGCAAAACCAGTCCTTTATTGGGGGTGTCTTGCTAATTGCCTATAATTTCCACCTGTTGTCTATTCCATTTGCACAACAGCATGTGAAATGTATTGTCAATCAGTGTTGCTTCCTAAGGGGACAGTTTGATTTCACAGAAGTGTGATTGACTTGGAGTTACATTGTGTTGTTTAAGTGTTCCCTTAATTTTTTTGAGCAGTGTATATATATATGTATGAAGCATAGATGTTCTTATATACAATTTCCAAAGGTGCTGAATCTGCTAAATGTTTATTTTGAGCTACACAATGTTGTTTTCTACAGTAGTAGAGGAATAAACCAAACTTCCACAGAACAGGTAACATCAGAACATTGTTAGAACATTTCCACAGGCTTTGGCCTTCAGTCCATAGATTTCCCTTCCTTCTCTTCATGACTCAGTGAAAATGCCAACAGGTGGGGCCTTCACAAAAAGAGCCTGCTGATTGTATTTCCTCTTCAATAACCCTCCGTTCAATACACCCACCTGAGGATGTTCTTTCTATGGCTACCGTCCAAATGGTACACTAGTCCCTATATAGTGCACTACTTTTGACCAGGACCCATAGGGTAGGAAACAGGGTGCCATTTTGAACGTACCCTAAAAACTCTCGGCAGAGTCATAAAAACTCCCGCCTAAAAAGTCAGAGTACCTTTTGGGGTATTTGTCATTGAGAGATGTTGTCTTGAGGAGGCTCCAGTGTAGAATAATGGAACCAGTGCTAATAGGACAGCTGGACTAAAGGACTGTAGTTAGTCAGTGCCAAAAGGTGTGTGGGGGGGGGGTAAAATACTATTTTAGAAACTGAAATGTGTGATGAAAGCTTGGGATTGTGTGTTTGTGGTGCGTGCATGCATGCATGTTTGTGTAAAGGATACGAGGAGTCTGTCTCTCCATATCTGGTCCAGTCTGATGCGCCAGCAGGCTCCTCACTGGGTCTCCACTTATACAGCAGGACCTGGCCACTCTCCAGCCCCACCGCCAGCAGGTAGCTGGAGAAACATCCATCAATCAATCAATCAATCAATCAATGAAACTTTATTGTCCCAGATGGACATGTGGATGACAGGCAGGCTTATTGTCCCAGATGGACATGTGGATGACAGGCAGGCTTATTGTCCCAGATGGACATGTGGATGATAGGCAGGCTTATTGTCCCAGATGGACATGTGGTTGACAGGCAGGCTTATTGTCCCAGATGGACATGTGGATGACAGGCAGGCTTATTGTCCCAGATGGACATGTGGTTGACAGGCAGGCTTATTGTCCCAGATGGACATGTGGCTGACAGGCAGGCTTATTGTCCCAGATGGACATGTGGTTGACAGGCAGGCTTATTGTCCCAGATGGACATGTGGTAACAGGCAGGCTATTGTCCCAGATGGCATTGGATCACAGGCAGCTTATATGCCAAGAGTACATTGGTTACAGACAGGCTTATTGTCCGTGGAATGTGGATGAAAGAGCAGCTTCATTGTCCCAATAGTACATGTGGTTGACAGGAAGGCTTATTGTCCCAGATGACACATGTGGTTGACAGGCAAGGCTTATGTCCCAGGACATGTGGTGACAGGCAGCTTATGTCCCAGATGGACACTCGTCTACAAGGCAAGGCTTATTGTCCCAAGATGGCATGTGGCTGACAGGCAGGCTCATCTGATCCCAGATGGACATGTGGTTGACAGGCAGGCTTACAACTAGACATGCATAATAGTTCAACACAGATAACACAAAAGACTAAATAACACAGAAACATCATCATCAACTTAAGAAGCCGGCTGGAAATAAAGTGCATGTGGAAATAAAGTGCATGTGCAAATAAAGTGCATGTGCAACTCAAATATGGGTTACTAGGCCATTGACAGACAGCACACACAGGTGGCTACAAGGGAAGCATACACACACCATCCATACACACTCCATCCATACACACTCCATCCATACACACACCATCCATACACACTCCATCCATGCACACTCCATCCATGCACACTCCATCCATGCACACTCCATCCATACACACTCCATCCATACACACACCATCCATACACACTCCATCCATACACACTACAAATAAGATATGAAACCCCTAGGACCTCTTGTTGATCTGAAAGGATTGGATAGGTTAAAGGCTAAAGCTTCCCTATGCCTTCTTGCCTTCTGATAGGCTGCGTATGCATTTCCACCATATTGCTAATACCTATCCAATTGCAGGCCTACAATAGTGTCTAGGGTGAAGGGGGCTAGCGGTTAAATTGGAATTCAGAAAATAAGCGCTGCTTCAGTATTGTACCTGTTGTCGGGGCAGAGGACGGGGCAGAAGGAGACAGCAGTGGCCGAGTCTCCTACGTCTAATATGGAGGAACAGGGCCGGATGACTGGGGGTTCAACAGGGGTCACAGTGGCCTCAGAACTACTGCAGTGACCCCATACTATCACCTGTAGAGAGAAAATTTAATGAAGTTATACTGGAACTTCAGACTAACACAAAGCGGCTTGCGAAAGTATTCACCCCTCTTGGCATTTTTCTTATTTTGTTGCCTTACAACCTGGAATTTAAATTGATTTTTTGGGGGGTTTGTATCATTTGATTTACACAACATGCCTACCACTTTGAAAATCCAAAATATTTTTACTTGTGAAAACAAAAACAAAATAAACAGAATACTTGAGCGTGCATAACTATTCACCCCCCCAAAGTCAATACTTTGTTGAGCCACCTTTTGCAGCAATTACAGCTGCAAGTCTCTTGGGGTATGTCTCTATAAGCTTGGCACATCTAGCCACTGGGATTTTTGCCCATTCTTCAAGGCAAAACTGCTCCAGCTCCTTCAAGTTGGATGGGTTCAGCTGGTGTACAGCAATCTTTAAGTCATACCACAGATTCTCAAATTAGATTGAGGTCTGGGCTTTGACTAGGCCATTCCAAGATATTTAAATGTTTCCCCTTAAACCACTCAAGTGTTGCTTTAGCAGTATGCTTTGGGTCATTGTCCTGCTGGAAGGTGAACCTCCGTCCCAGTCTCAAATCTCTGGAAGAATGAAACAGGTTTCCCTCAAGAATTTCCCTGTATTTAGTGCCATCCATCATTCCTTCAATTCTGACCAGTTTCCCAGTCCCTGCCATTGAAAAACATCCCCACAGCATGATGCTGCCACCATCATGCTTCACTGTGGGGATGGTGTTCTCGGGGTGATGAGAGGTGTTGGGTTTGCGCCAGACATAGCGTTTTCCTTGATGGTCAATTTTAGTCTCATCTGTCCAGAGTATCTTTTTCCATATGTTTGGGGAGTCTCCCACATGGCTTTTGGCGAACACCAAACCTGTTTGCTTATTTTTTTCTTTAAGCAATGGCTTTTTTCTGGCCATTCTTCCGTAAAGCCCAGCTCTGTGGAGTGTACGGCTTAAAGTGGTCCTATGGACAGATACTCCAATCTCCGCTGTGGAGCTTTGCAGCTCCTTCAGGGTTATCTTTGTCTATTTGTTGCCTCTCTGATTAATGCCCTCCTTGCCTGGTCCGCGTGTTTTGGTGGGCGGCCCTCTCTTGGCAGGTTTGTTGTGGTGCCATATTCTTCCCATTTTTTAATAAAGGATTTAATGGTGCTCCGTGGGATGTTCAAAGTTTCTGTACTTCTCCACAACTTTGTCCCTGACCTGTTTGGAGAGCTCCTTGGTCTTCATGGTGCCGCTTCCTTGGTGGTGCCCTTTGCTTAGTGATGTTGCAGACTCTGGGGCCTTTCAGAACAGGTGTATATATACTGAGATCATGTGACAGATCATGTGACACTTAAATAAAGGCGACCTGTGTGCAATCTAACTAATTATGTGACTTCTGAAGGTAATTGGTTGCACCAGATCTTATTTAGGGGCTTCATAGCAAAGGGGGTGAATACATATGCACGCACCCCTTTTCCGTTATTTATTTTTTAGAATTTTTGTATCAAGTAGTTTTTTTCATTTCACGTCACCAATTTGGACTATTTTGTCTATGTTCATTACATGAAATCCAAATAAAAATCAATTTAAATTGCAGGTTGTAATGCAACAAAACAGAAAAAACGCCAAGGGGGATGAATACTTTTGCAAGGCACTGTAGGCTATGTGTGTGTCCCAAATGTCACCCTATTCCCTATATAGCTCTATGGGCCCTGGTCAAAAGTAGTGCACTATATAGGGAACAATGTTACCATTTGGGATACAGCATATGATGAACAGTATTTTACTGCCTCTTCCTTACCATTGTGACCTTTACTTACTGAGGAGCTCATTTGTAACTAACAACCTTTAAAGGATGATGCTGTCTTGAGATTAGCACATCATTAAATTTCATGCCAGTCTTGCATTGACGTCAAAGGAATCTTAAGCTAGGGATCAGGGTCTGTATCAAAAAGGGTCTCAGAGTAGAAGTACTGATTCATTATGATTTAAAAGGCCAAACTGATCCTTGATCAGCACTCCTTCTTTGAGACGCTTTGTGAACACACGTCCAGACCTAAGTGAATAGACGTTGAAGTCTGGAGAATACAAGCTACCTCTACTAACAACACTAAGGTTTTGCTTGTGTAGAATAATTACCTTCTTGTCTCGACTCGACGTCACAAAGTACTTGTTGTCGGAACTCCAGTCACATGACCATATGATGCGTGTATGTATGGCCGTGTCCTTCCTGGTAGATGTGTGCAGGGAGAAATGGGGTTCTGGACAGGGGAGACACACACAGGCACAATATATGACATTATTTCAAATGCCCATCTACCTTGCAACATTTGTCACACACAAAAACAAGCTTTCTAAACAGTACATAACTGCTCAGCGGTAACAATGAATCTCTCCACTGACACACAACTAAACCCAAAGCCTCAGTTTCTCCTCTCCATGATGTCTGTCATGACACACTGTTGTCTGTGTAGTTCCATCAGCCAGCCCTCTAGAGAGACACTGTTGTCTGTGTAGTTCCAGCAGCCAGCCCTCTAGAGAGACACTGTTGTCTGTGTAGTTCCATCAGCCAGCCCTCTAGAGAGACACTGTTGTCTGTGTAGTTCCATCAGCCAGCCCTCTAGAGAGACACTGTTGTCTGTGTAGTTCCATCAGCCAGCCCTCTAGAGAGACACTGCTGTCTGTGTAGTTCCATCAGCCAGCCCTCTAGAGAGACACTGCTGTCTGTGTAGTTCCAGCAGCCAGCCCTCTAGAGAGACACTGTTGTCTGTGTAGTTCCAGCAGCCAGCCCTCTAGAGAGACACTGTTGTCTGTGTAGTTCCAGCAGCCAGCCACAGCATTGTTTCCCCCCTCTAGAGGTTGTTTGTATTCAGGCTGGCTGTCTGGCTCTGTCTCTGTATCAACCCACCTCCAGACACACACACGCAAACACACAAACACAGACACACATGATTCGGCTGGTTCTGTCTGTCTTAGGGATGCGCATTTGACATTTTTTGACTGTTCCAAGTACTCACTTTTTTTTTTAAGAGTACAAAAAAAATTAGATATATTTACAACACAAGGGCAAGGCCCGCATTGGAAAAAAATGTGTGCCAACATTTATCTATATGCCAACAGATCGCAACAATGCCTAGTTTATCATAACCACTACAGATAACACATCCTAATGGCTGGATTGCCTCATACATATTCAGTCAATAAAAAACAATTGCCATATTAATATATTCAAACTGTAATATCAACTAGTTATATTATATCGTGGAACACAATCTTCAGAAAGGCAGTAACCTCAGCAGTGGAGCTTGCTTGTAGAAGACTATGGCTGTCCAATGGCATAGCCTTGTTTTGTTCATTTACCAGACAAGACGCTCTTATTTCCCGAGCCCTTATCACAGTCAAGACACCTATTTTATAGCAAAAAAAACATAATGTAATTTAACAGAATAAAATATAAACAGAATACTTTTCCAAATGTTGCCAGTGCGATGTGATGCGCATCTCACGTCTGGAGCAGTTATTCTCAGAGTGATCATTTGAAGCGGGGCTCAGTTTGGCGTGTTGAAAGAAAAAAATAAAATATCTTTCTTTTTAAAAAAAAATGTATTTTAGATATAGGCCTCAGACGTTCAATTTAGTTTATTCTGCCTGTTCTTTGGAATTTTCTAAATGGATGAACAATTCCACCACATAGAACACTGCATGGTGATGCATTATGGCCACTACATCTGTTTGGTGAGTAGGCCTAGGCTTATTGATTCTGATGAAAATACTTTGACTTTATCAAACTAACGTTTTTGCATATTTTCAGTGTGGAACCTGTCTGTGTTTAGGGGGGGGGTTATAGTCTAGGATAACCAATTCTAAATAGCACTAGCAGTTTACAAAGTAGCCTAACTGCACCTTGTTGGAACACATATTTCCCTCCTTCAATCAACCAGTCCATTTTGAATTTGTGATAAAACTGTCATCATTTGGCAAGGAATTTAGGTTGTGTATCCCATCAGCAAACTGATTTTTTTTATGCCCACTGTCCCACCGTCTGTATAGGCATGTTTCCTGTCCCACCGTCTGTATAGGCATGTTTCCTGTCCCACCGTCTGTATAGGCATGTTTCCTGTGTGCAAACTCAGCATGCGTGTGTAGAGGGAGTGGTCGGAACGCAGTTGAGTGAGTGAGACGCTGAGGGGAAAGGGACTTTAGGGAAAATAACTGTGTGATGCTTGCCTTGGTTTTTTTTTTTTGTGCCCCGCAAATGCACATGTACAAATGGAACACTAGAGTAAAAGCTAATTATTAAAACAAAAAAATGAGGGACAAGCCACAAAGCACATTCCACCCAATAGTTTTGGAGAAAAATTTGATCTCTGGTTAAAGAAAGAGTTTTGACGTACGTTTCATAACTCATAATACCCATACCTAGTCTGCCTGTATCAGCCCATCTCCAGACAGCGCCATGGCTAATAGCAGTGTAAACACACACACACACACACACACTCCTCCCTACACCTGCACACACATACTGGTGCTGTCGGAGCTTAGGTAGGCCTGTCTTCTATCTACAGCCACTCTCCATCCCTGTCTTGACGGGCCGCCTGGGCCATCCTGTACTGTGCTTTCCAGCCCCTCGATTGGCAAGTCTAGACTGGTTAAGCAGAGTTAAGAGTGTGTGTGCGTGCGTGCGTGTGTGTGTGTGTGCATGTGAGCCTGTGAGTAATTCAGGGCTCAACTGGAACAGACTGCCAGTTCGCCGGGTGCAGGGGAACCCACCGAGGCTCCCGCCACACAGGCAAATAGGGAAAGAAAAACAGTTGCTCCACCGGTTAGGGCCGTGTCACTGGTGATTTACCTGACTGGGTTTAAATGGGGATTGGAGACATTGGTTGTTTGGCGCCAGACTTTCCCTAGGCTAAGTAAAACAGGACTAAACTAGTCCTGGGTGCTTAAACAGCTGACATGAAACTGAACTAACTCCGAAAGAAGAAAGAAAGAAAGAAAAAGAAAAGAAAGAAAAAAGAAAGAAAGAAAAAGAAAGAAAGAAAGAAAGAAAAAGAAAGAAAGAAAGAAAGAAAAATGAACAGAAATAAAGAAAGAAAGAAAGAAAGAAAAAGAAATAAAGAAAGAACGAAGAAGAAATAAAGAAGAAATAAAAAAGCAGATAAAGAAAGAAGAAGAAAGAATACATAAAGAAAGACAAAGAAAAAGCCCTAAATCCCTCCTAAAGAAAAAGATACCCCCTCCCCCCTCCCTCCCTCCTCCCTCCCCCTCCCCCCTCCTCAGCCCCTCCCCCAAAAGAACTCCCGCACAGAAACTCCCTCCTAAGACCTACCAAGAAAGAAAGAACGAAATAAGAATAAAGAAAGAAAGAAGAAAGTCTCCCTCAGCTCACCTGTGTTTGTAGGGGTAGCGGTGGGGTCGTCCCGTCTCCATAGCGACCAGGTCCTGTCCCGGGACACGGCCAATAGGAGCCGTCCGTTGGGAGAGAAGGCCATCTGGGTGACGGTGAGGCTGTGGCAAGGCAGCGCCTGTAGCTGGCGCCAGGAGGTGGCGCTCCAGAGCAGCACGGCCGCATGCTCGGCCTTAGAGGCCTAGAACCAGAGAAGAAGAGATGCAGTTGGAGGACCATACTGAACTAGCTCAGCCTTAGAGGCCTAGAACCAAAGAAGAAGAGAAGCAGTTGGAGGACCACACTGAACTAGCTCAGCCTTAGAGGCCTAGAACCAGATAAGAATAGTGGATGGAGGACCACACACATAGCTGACAAGATAGTCATAGGAAACTATACCATACCATTCCAGCCATTAATATGAGCTTGTACAAGTGCCACCAGCCACCACTGTATTGTATAGTTTTAGCCAACCTATCTCCATTCCTTACCAGTGGGCATACAGTACACAATTCTCCTCCCTCTGTGTTTGGTAAACACTCATTTTAAGCTTTGACTCAAAGATGTACTAGCAACCCTGGTCTAGTCTATTCAAGTGACGTAAAAAATTAAAATATATTTTTACGTTCTGTAGGCCTATGTTTTTATTGGCTAAAGGAGAGACAGCAGGAAAGATAAATGGGCCGAATTGGAACCCACAGCAAATACTGTATGCACGGACTGCTAGACCACCCAGGTCAGGTGACGTCTGCCTTCAAATCACATCATTCCAATTGTGATAGGAATCTGAATGATCCTGATGGCTGCTAACAGACTTCAACTGACAGATAAAAGGTTATTTCTCTGAAAGATCGACACTATCAGATTGATTTAGCTTCCGATTAAAAAGCTGACTGTCCACCCGCACTGACACTGACCTCTACCAAGTCCAGCAGCAACGTTGGACATCCCCTGTGTGCTAACGTGTGTGTGTGTCTGTCTGTCTCTTTCAGTGTGTGCATGCCCAATTGTGTGTGTGTACGTGCATGTCATAGTGTGTGTTTGTGTGTGTGTTCACCAGTGGTGGAAAAAGTACCCAATTGTCATACTTGAGTAAAAGTAAAGATACCTTGATAGAAAATGACTCAAGTAAAAGTGAAAGTCACCCAGTAAAATACTACTTGAGTAAAAGTCTAAAAGCATTTGGTTTTAAATATCAAAAGTAAAAGTATAAATTATTAAAAATTCCTTATATTAAGCAAATCAGAAGGCTCAATTGTTTTTTTGTCTTCTACGAATAACCAGGGGCACACTCAGAAAGGATTTACATACGAAGCATTTGTTTATTGCGTCTGTCAGATCAGAGGCAGTAGGTATGACCAGGGATGTTATCTTGATAAGTTTGTGAATTGGACCATTTCCCTGACCTGCTAAGCATTCAAAATGTAACGAGTACTTTTGGATGTCAGGGAAAATGTATGGAGAAAAAGTACATTAATCAACCGATTCAAATAATCAACTAATCATCGAACTTTGGTCATTTGAATCAGCTGTATAAAAAAAAAAACGTTCATCACCCCTTGGGGTCCCGAGGAACGAGTTTGGGAAACCCTCCTGTAACCAGTAAATGACATATTTAAGGAGGCGGATCTACAACACATATTTAGAAATATGTTACGATGCAATGTCAACATGATCAAACACAAGTCAAACACAACCCTTTGTGTTAACCCTTCAAAGAAAAATAGGCAACTGATATATGGCTGTCACCTAACAAAAAATCTAAAGATCCTTGTGCGCCCAGTTGAGAGCCGGGAACTAGGTAGGTTCAAAGCCATAGATGAAGAAGAGAGAATAAAGCTGTGATTTAACGTTGGTTGGACCAGAGCTAGCTAGCTATCTAACAAGCTTGTGTGTGCAGAGTGGCACCAGAATTTAAAATAAAAACACGTCTTACCTTTTTTGTAGTTAATAAATCCAATGTGAAATGCGATAACTATAGTATCCTTAATTAGCATTGAAAAAGTTAATCCAGCCTTCTCTAATAAAATGTGTTTTATCTCCCCATTTTCTGAATCACGCTTGTAACGTCAGTAGGCTACAGTAGACTATGCTTCGGAGGGGGAGGGGCAGGTCGCCTACACACACACAAACACTGGCAAAGACTTCCAGCTGGCCGGCAGACACTGGAATACGGTTCTGAATGACATAGTGAGGGCTTTGCATAGGCACTTTGTTGCATTTTTTGTGGGACTTGAAAAAAATGCCGGTTCTGATTACTCATTTTATTTGTAATTTTTTTTCGGTTTTCAGTTCTGTTCCTGAACCAGTTCCATCCCCTGCTAATAAGTACAATCTGAGATGTGGTGTGTGGGGGTGTGCGTGTGTTTTGCTACAATCGCAGATAGACGTTTGGCCTCCCACTTGTCACACTACCTTACATGCCGATGCCACCACCGTCCTCCCACTGTCAGACGCCAGACAGAACATCTCAAAGCCGTGTCCGTACCTGGAGAGCGAGAGAGCGAGAGCGAGAGAGAGAGAGCGAGAGAGAGAGAGCGGAGGGGAGGGAGGGAGGGAAGTGGAGTGATGAGAGCTTAGTCACCAGATAAGACTGTGATAAAAGCCAAGTGGTCAAACTTGAAGCACAAACAATCCTCCTGAAAGTTTTAAAATGGCGCATCTAAGAATCTCTGTAGAATCTCGCTTCTGGTGTCAGAGCTGCCGTCCCAAACGGCCCACTATTCCCTATTTAGTACATAGGGTTCTGGTCAAAATTAGTGGACTATATAGGGATTAGGGTGACATTTGGGACTCAGCCAGAGAGTGGAAGGTTTTCTAGCTGGAATTATGGAGATTCTACTCAGACAGCCTATAAAGGTTAAGAAGACACAGAAACCTTACTGGTAAAGACAGCTAGAGCTAGACTGTGGAATTAAACAGTGACGTACAGGACTCTAGAATAGCAGACTGCACACACGTGGGCACACACACACAAGAGCACAGAAACATCTCATCCTCTCAACCTAACAAACCTTCTAAACATTTCGTATTCAGAAATATACTCAAAATAGAAACCCTACCTCAGAATCAAAAATATGATGCCACATGAATTTTAATGTTGCTATTACGTGTTCAATTATACAATGCATTCCTTGCCAAATGGGAGTAAGAAAAGTGCTATTCAAAAATACAATGGCTGCACTTGCAGTAAATGTCACAGCTGTACGTCATGTTAACGCAGGACTGACTGGTAAATAGATTTAACATTGGAGGCAATATATTCTGCTGGGGAGAGAAGAGGCTCATGGGGAAATCTGCATTCTGATTAGTGGGAGGTCTTTGGCTGGCTCCGAACGTGGTTTAGAAACTCAGACCCATTTTCAGACCCATTAATCCTCACAGGAGGCGAAACAAAACATAACTGGTAATTTGTCTATAAATATGAGAAATGCATTGAAATGTCATGTCGCAAGGAAAATGGATGCTGCTCACAAAAGGTTGAAATCATAGATGCCTCGTGTACATTCCTAGACAGAAGGAAACAGCGCTGAAACATTTTCTGACAAGTCCCCATCTGATTCTGTAGTTGATAAAGTGTGTGCAAAAGTTGTATTCTCTAACATTGGCTGCCTTTACACAAGCAGCCCAATTCTGATATTTGGCCAAATGTTTGGCAAAACAGCTGATCTGATTGGTCAAAATACCAATTAGTGGAAAAAGATCCAAAGAATTGGGCTGCCTGTGTAAATGCAGCCATTGAGACAAAAAATGTGTGTGCGTGCGTGCTTGTGTGAGGATGGAAAGGAAAGGACTGTTAGAAGGATCATGTGACACTAACAGTTTTTGGACCTCAGGCCATAGTGTGTTTTGGAGAAGGTGGTCCTCTGGAGGGGGCTCTGTGGACACACACAATAACAAAGAAAGTCAATTTCAAAATAATTACAAACTGTATTTAACATATTCAACATTCACTCTAATGGGAACCATTTTCCAATTGACTAAATGAAGATTGTATCTATGTGGAGATTGTATCTACAGTGGGGAGAACAAGTATTTGATACACTGCCGATTTTGCAGGTTTTCCTACTTACAAAGCATGTAGAGGTCTGTAATTTTTATCATAGGTACACTTCAACTGTGAGAGACGGAATCAAAAACAAAAATCCAGAAAATCACATTGTATGATTTTTAAGTAATTCATTTGCATTTTATTGCATGACATAAGTATTTGATCACCTACCAACCAGTAAGAATTCTGGCTCTCACAGACCTGTTAGTTTTTCTTTAAGAAGCCCTCCTGTTCTCCACTCATTACCTGTCTTAACTGCACCTGTTTGAACTCGTTACCTGTATAAAAGACACCTGTCCACACACTCAATCAAACAGACTCCAACCTCTCCACAATGGCCAAGACCAGAGAGCTGTGTAAGGACATCAGGGATAAAACTGTAGACCTGCACAAGGTCTGGGATGGGCTACAGGACAATAGGCAAGCAGCTTGGTGAGAAGGCAACAACTGTTGGCGCAATTATTAGAAAATGGAAGAAGTTCAAGATGACGGTCAATCACCCTCGGTCTGGGGCTCCATGCAAGATCTCACCTCGTCGGGCATCAATGATCATGAGGAAGGTGAGGGATCAGCCCAGAACTACACGGCAGGACCTGGTCAATGACCTGAAGAGAGCTGGGACCACAGTCTCAAAGAAAACCATTAGTAACACACTACGCCGTCATGGATTAAAATCCTGCAGCGCACGCAAGGTCCCCCTGCTCAAGCCAGCGCATTTCCAGGCCCGTCTGAAGTTTGCCAATGACCATCTGGATGATCCAGAGGAGGAATGGGAGAAGGTCATGTGGTCTGATGAGACAAAAATAGAGCTTTTTGGTCTAAACTCCACTCGCCGTGTTTGGAGGAAGAAGAAGGATGAGTACAACCCCAAGAACACCATCCCAACCGTGAAGCATGGAGGTGGAAACATCATTCTTTGGGGATGCTTTTCTGCAAAGGGGACAGGACGACTGCACCGTATTGAGGGGAGGATGGATGGGGCCATGTATCGCAAGATCTTGGAAAACAACCTCCTTCCATCAGTAAGAGCATTGAAGATGGGTCGTGGCTGGGTCTTCCAGCATGACAACGACCCAAAACACACAGCCAGGGCAACTAAGGAGTGGCTCCGTAAGAAGCATCTCAAGGTCCTGGAGTGGCCTAGCCAGTCTCCAGACCTGAAGCCAATAGAAAATCTTTGGAGGGAGCTGAAAGTCCGTATTGCCCAGCGACAGCCCCGAAATCTGAAGGATCTGGAGAAGGTCTGTATGGAGGAGTGGGCCAAAATCCCTGCTGCAGTGTGTGCAAACCTGGTCAAGACCTACAGGAAACGTATGATCTCTGTAATTGCAAACAAAGGTTTCTGTACCAAATATTAAGTTCTGCTTTTCTGATGTATCAAATACTTATGTCATGCAATAAAATGCAAATGAATTACTTAAAAATCATACAATGTGATTTTCTGGATTTTTGTTTTAGATTCCGTCTCTCACAGTTGAAGTGTACCTGTGATAAAAATTACAGACCTCTACATGCTTTGTAAGTAGGAAAACCTGCAAAATCGGCAGTGTATCAAATACTTGTTCTCCCCACTGTATGTGGCTGGCTGCTATGATTTTCTTGTTTAACAACCCTAATGTTAAGCAGGGAGGGAGAGAGGGAGTGAGTTAAAGAAGAGAGAGAGGGAGTGAGTTAAAGAAGAGAGAGAGGGAGTGAGTTAAAGAAGAGAGAGAGGGAGTGAGTTAAAGAAGAGAGAGAGGGAGTGAGTTAAAGAAGAGAGAGAGGGAGTGAGTTAAAGAAGAGAGAGGGAGTGAGTTAAAGAAGAGAGAGAGGGAGTGAGTTAAAGAAGAGAGAGAGGGAGTGAGTTAAAGAAGAGAGAGAGGGAGTGAGTTAAAGAAGAGACACACTAAAGACACTAAACAGAATGAAGAACAGAATTGACCGCCTCAAGACAATGTTCTCTCGTATTCTTCACAGCGCTCATCGCTAACATTTAGCTCCAATATGTAACCCTCAACTCGTTATTTCTAAAAAGCCATTTTGAACAACGAGGCTTTATCTCCCAATTTTCAACAGCTGTTAGCTTTGAGGGGTGCTGCGAAATGAGAATCAAATGTACCCATTCTCTCATTCTCCACCCATGCCAAGACAACTTCACTATCTACTCCTGCAGACACAGAGTGTGTCCCAAATGACACCCTATTCCCTATGGGCCCTGGTCAAAAGTAGTGCACTATCTAGGGAATAGGGTGTCATTTGGGACACAGACACTTAGGCAACCCTTCCTCTCCTTCCTTACACATGACAAGCCTTGTTCCCTCCCGTTTTTATTTGTCCCTGGCTTCCTGTTTCTCCCTAATTGTTCCCTCCCTTAACCCCCTCTAGTGAATCAGAGACATGGCATTATTCTGTTAACAACTCATTATTCTGTTAACAACTAATTATTCTGTTAACAACTCATTATTCTGTTAACAACTCATTATTCCATGTCCACCTCATTTCCCTCTCCCCGTAGCCCTGCACACACACGTAGCCCTGTAGCCTAGTCATCAATATTATAACTTCGCTCTGTACATCCACACACGTGCACGCACGCGCACGCACACGCACACACACACACACACACACACACACACACACACACACACACACACACAGCCCTGTAGCCTAGAGTCATTCATATCCTGACTCTGTAATCCTATAAGACTATAAGGAGCTTTTTACAATCACAATGAATGACAACGCCTGACACTGTGTCACGACATCCGCCGAGGCTGCCTCCCCTCCTTGTTCGGGCAGGTTTCGGCGTTCGTCGTCACCGATCCCATTCTCAACACTCCACTTGTCATGTCTTGTCTCGTCAATCACACACACCTGGTGCTCATTCCCCTAATTAGTATGTGTATAAGTGTTCCTTCTGTTCCCCTTGTCTTTGTGAGTGATTGTTTCTTTGTGAGAGCCAGGAGCTCGGTTGAGCTACTCTTCCATTTGTTATTGCCAAGGTGGAATATTTCCCTTGTGATAGTTTCGTTTTGAAGCTTGGTGCGTTTTATTTATGTAAACGGAATAAACTCTGGACTTCAGTGTTTTACCTCCTGCGCCTGACTCCTTCAGTCACACCTCATCACACACTGTTTGACTAGAGCCAAGGCACCCAAAGCTCTGCATCCTCTGATTCTCTGTCATTGTGTATTTATTCCTCCTCTTATTATGTTTCTATTATCTTCCTTCTTTTTCTCTCTCTGCATTCTTGGGAAGGGCCTGTAAGTAAGCATTTCACTGTTCGCCTACACCTGTTGTTTACGAATCATGTCACAAATACAATTAGATCTGTCTCTTTCATCTTCATCTCTCTAACCCTCCCTCTTTACACTGACTGTCTCTCTGTCACTCTCTGTCTCTCGCTCTCTGTCTCTCGCTCTCTGTCTCTCTCGCTCTCTGTCTCTCTCAGTCTCTCTCTCTGTCTCTCTCATTCTCTCTCTCTGCCTCTCTCTATCTCGGTCTCTCTCTCTCTCAGTCTCTCGGTCGCGGTCTCTCTCTCTCTCTGTCTCTCTGTCGGTCTCTCTATGTCTGTCTCTCTATGTCTGTCTCTCTATGTCTGTCTCTCTATGTCTGTCTCTCTATGTCTGTCTCTCTATGTCTGTCTCTCTATGTCTGTCTCTCGCTCTCGCTCTCGCTCTCTGTCTCTCCTCTAGTCTCTCGCTCTCTGTCTCTCGCTCTCTGTCTCTCGCTCTCTGTCTCTCGCTCTCGCTCTCTGTCTCTCGCTCTCTGTCTCTCTCTCTCTGTCTCTCTCTGTCTGTTTCTCTCTCTCTCTCTCTTCTGTTCTCTCCTCTCTGTCTGTCCTCCTCTCTCTGTCTGTCTCTCTCTCTCCCGTCTGTGTCTCCTACTCTCTCTCTCTTCTCTGTCTATCTTCTATCTCTATCTAATTCTCCTTTCTCTGTCTGTCTTCTGTCTCTCTGTCTGTCTGTCTCTGCTCTCTGTCTCTACTCTCTCTGTCTCTCTCTCTTCTGTCTCTTCTTATGTCTCTTCTGTCTCGTCTCTCTGTCTCGTCTTCTGTCTTTCTCTCTGTCTCTGTCTCTCTGTCTCTTTCTCTATCTGTCTCTCTTCTCTGGTCTCTCGTGCTCTCTGTACTATGTACCTCTCTGGTCTCTTGTGTCTCTAGGTATCTCTGTCTGGTCCTTCTCTCTGTCTCTCTCTCTCTGTGCTCTCTCTCTCGTCTCTCAGCTCTCCGTCCTCTCCACTCTCTCCTTCCCTGTCTCTCTCTCTGTCTCTCTCTCTGTCTCTCTCTCTGTTCCTCTCTTCTCTGTCTCTGCTCCTCTGTCTCTCTCTCTGTCCCTCTCTCTGTCTCTCTCTTCTGTCTCTCTCTGTCTCCTCTCTCTCTCTCTCTCTCTCTCTCCTCTGTCCCTCTCTCTCCGCTCTCTTTCTCGTCTCTCTCTCTATCTCTGGTCTCTCTCCATCTCTCTGTCTGTCTCTACTTTCTCGGTCTCCTGCTCTCCTGTTTCTCCTCTGTCCTACCTCCTCGTCTATCTCCTCCTGTCTCTCTCTCTGTCTCTCTCTCTGTATCTCTCTCTCTCTCTGTCTCTCTCTCTCCCTCTGTCTCTCTCTACCCCCGCCATCCTTCTCTTCCTGCTATGCTTCTCATTCTTCTTTAGTAATAACATCTCCAGCTGCTCCGATTCATCACCCTCTTCTAAAATGCAGGCATGGAGTGCAGAGCATAGCAGAGCAGAACAGAACAGAACAGAGCAGAACAGAACAGAGCAGAGGCATCTAATAACTAGTTAGTCATGAAGGCTGGATATCATTGTCCCTTACAGGAATAAACAGAAACAGGGAGGGAGAGAAGGAGAGATAGACTCTCGAGGCTGCACTGAGGCAGTTTATTGGGAAAGGAAGTTTATCCCATTCCAATAACAAAACAGTATCAAGGTTTATGTAGGTCTTACGTATTGTGGGAGTAATGCCTCAGACAGACGTTGCTTTTAAATGGGCCTAATATTCTAATAGGGATGGTACGTTTTCAGTATACAATACCATTAAGGATGAGAGGGTGGAAATAGGACTCTTGGTATTGGTCAGAAACACTGTTGAACCCGGTTCCCTGCTCTTCATTGGCCTTGGGAGCCAGATCACCTGTCAATCAAAAGAAGAAACTATCAAAATCAGCCAGATGTAACGAGACATTGACCGTTATGTGCAGAAAGACCAAGTTTAGGATGGACTTAGAGCCGTACCTTGAAACACAGCCTTGTTGGAGAGGCCTAGGGCAGGAGTACTGGCACCTTCTGGTTGATCTACAGTGTCCTGGGAAAGAGAAACAGACACACCCACACACATACACATACACATACAGGGGAGTGGGGTCAAAGGGGAATCTCAGTGTGCTACGCTCTTTCCCAGTTAATTTCACCTCGAGGCCTCGCATCCTTTTTCCTTGCCTCCTTTTCAAAATGCATTGGAGAAGAAGGTCCGGAGGAGGGACTTTCGACCTTCTCCTCCAATATGGTTGAGGAGGAGGCGAGGACATAGAATGCGAGGAATCATGGAAGGACGAATTGAGATTGAGGTCAACAGTAGCCATTGGGGGTGATGTAGGAAGCAACTGCCGTTGGTTGACACACCACTCAACCAATAAAAAAAACTGAATGTTGGTACGTCGACCAATAGCAAAGCAGGATTCTGGAACTACTACTCACACTGGAGGCCAGCAGCTTTGCCAGAGGCGTGCCGGAGATGTTTGCAAAGTTCTCCACAAAGTTGCGGGGGGCGCGGAACACTCGGAGGACCTTCTCGTCGGCCCCGGAGACGTACTGGAAGCGCCCCACTAAGGCCAAACACTGCATGTCATAGCCGTGGATCTGGGGGCGAGAGATCTCGTGCCAGGTAGGCTGTAGTTAAGGCACAGGGGACAGAGGGGAAGAGATACTGAGATACAGTATTACAGTTAGAGATCTCGTGCCAGGTGGGCTGTGGGGAGGGGGAAATCGATACACTACATGACCAAAAGTATGTGGACACCTGCTCGTCGAACATCTCAATCCAAAATCATGGGCATTAATATGGAGTTGGCCCACCCTTTGCTGCTATAACAGCCTCCACTCTTCTGGGAAGGCTTTCCACTAGATGTTAGAACATTGCTGCGGGGACTTGCTTCCATTCAGCCGCAAGAGCATTAGTGAGGTCGGGCACTGATGTTGGGTGATTAGGCCTGGCTCGCAGTTGGCGTTCCAATTCATCCCAAAGGTGTTCGATGGGGTTGAGGTCAGGGCTCTGTGCAGGCCAGTCAAGTTCTTCCACACTGACCTCGACAAACCATTTCTGTATGGACCTCAATTTGTGCACGGTGGCATTGTCATGCTGAAACAGGAAAGGGCCTTCCCCAAACTGTTGCCCCAAAGTTGGAAGCACAGAATCATTTAGAATGTAATTGTATGCTGTAGCGTTAAGATTTCCCTTCACTTGAACAAAGGGACCTGGCCAAAACCATGAAAAACAGCCCCAGACCATTATTTCTCCTCCCACTAAACTTTACAGTTGGCACTATGCATTGGGGCTGGTAGCGTTCTCCTGGCATCTGCCAAACCCAGATTCGTCCGTCGGACTGCCAGATGGTGAAGCGTGATTCATCACTCCAGAGAACGCGTTTCCACAGCTCCAGAGTCCAATGGCTGCGAGCTTTACACCACTCCAGCCGACGCTTGGCATTGCCCATGGTGATCTTAGGCTTCTGTGCGGCTGCTCGGCCATGGAAACCCATTTCATGAAGCTCCCGACTAACAGTTATTGGGCTGACGTTGCTTCCAGAGGCAGTTTGGAACTCTGTAGTGAGTGGTGCAACAATTCTTACGCGCTACGTGCTTCAGCATTCAGCGGTCCCGTTCTGTGAGCTTGTGTGGCCAACCACTTCGCGGCTGAGCCGTTGTTGCTCCTAGACGTTTCCACTTGACAATAACAGCAGCTCTAGCAGGGCAGAAATTTGACAAACAGACATGTTGGAAACGTGGCATCCTATGACGGTGCCATGTTGAAAGTCACTGAGCTCTTCAGTAAGGCCATTCTACTGCCAATGTTTGTCTATGGAGATTGTATGACCGTGTGCTTGATTTTATACACCTGTCAGCAACGGGTGTGGCTGAAATAGCCGAATCCACTAATTTCAAGGGGTGTCCACATACTTTGTATATACAGTGAGGGAAAAAAGTATTTGATCCCCTGCTGATTTTGTCCGTTTGCCCACTGACAAAGAAATTATCAGTCTATAATTTTAATGGTAGGTTTATTTGAACAGTGAGAGACAGAATAACAACAAAAGAATCCAGAAAAACACCTCAAAAATGTCATAAATTGATTTGCATTTTAATGAGGGAAATAAGTATTTGACCCCCTCTCAATCAGAAAGATTTCTGGCTCCCAGGTGTATTTTATACAGGTAACAAGCTGAGATTAGGAGCACACTCTTAAAGGAAGTGCTCCTAATCTCAGCTTGTTACCTGTATAAAAGACACCTGTCCACAGAAGCAATCAATCAATCAGATTCTAAATTCTCCACCATGGCCAAAAACAAATAGCTCTCCAAGGATGTCAGGGACAAGATTGTAGACCTACACAAGGCTGGAATGGGCTACAAGACCATCGCCAAGCAGCTTGGTGAGAAGGTGACAACAGTTGGTGCGATTATTCGCAAATGGAAGAAACACAAAAGAACTGTCAATCTCCCTCGGCCTGGGGCTCCATGCAAGATCTCCCCTCGTGGAGTTGCAATGATCATGAGAACGGTGAGGAATCAGCCCAGAACTACACAGGAGGATCTTGTCAATGATCTCAAGGCAGCTGGGACCATAGTCACCAAGAAAACAATTGGTAACACACTACGCCGTGAAGGCCTGAAATCCTGCAGCGCCCGCAAGGTCCCCCTGCTCAAGAAAGCACATATACATGCCCATCTGAAGTTTGCCAATGAACATCTGAATGATTCAGAGGAGAACTGGGTAAAAGTGTTGTGGTCAGATGAGACCAAAATTGAGCTCTTTGGCATCAACTCAACTCGCCGTGTTTGGAGGAGGAGAAATGCTGCCTATGACCCCAAGAACACCATCCCCACCGTCAAACATGGAGGTGGAAACATTATGCTTTGGGGGTGTTTTTCTGCTAAGGGGACAGGACAACTTCACCGCATCAAAGGGACGATGGACGGGGCCATGTACCGTCAAATCTTGGGTGAGAACCTCCTTCCCTCAGCCAGGGGGTGGGTGAGTGGATGAGTATTCCAGCATGACAATGACCCAAAACACACAGCCAAGGCAACAAAGGAGTGGCTCAAGAAGAAGCACATTAAGGTCCTGGAGTGGCTTAGCCAGTCTCCAGACCTTAATCCCATAGAAAATCTGTGGAGGGAGCTGAAGGTTCGAGTTGCCAAACGTTAGCCTCGAAACCTTAATGACTTGGAGAAGATCTGCAAAGAGGAGTGGGACAAAATCCCTCCTGAGATGTGTGCAAACCTGGTGGCCAACTACAAGAAACGTCTGACCTCTGTGATTGCCAACAAGGGTTTTGCCTAAGTACTAAGTCATGTTTTGCAGAGGGGTCAAATACTTATTTCCCTCATTAAAATGCAAATCAATTTATAACATTTTTGACATGCGTTTTTCTGGATTTTTGTTGTTGTTATTCTGTCTCTCACTGTTCAAATAAACCTACCATTAAAATTATAGACTGATAGTTTCTTTGTCAGTGGGCAAACGTACAAAATCAGCAGGGGATCAAATACTTTTTTCCCTCACTGTATAGTGTAATTAACTTTTTTCAGAGGGGGTTACAGGTACAAAAACAATCAAATAAATGCATACAAAGACAACCACGACCCATTCCCCCCCTCAGTCCCCATCCACCCGCCCGCATCCCCACCAGGAAACCATGCTTCCCACCCCTCCTAACCTTTTCCAGGTCTCAATTGTTCCTTGACAAGCACCAGTCATTCTCGCTGTTGATAATTGTAATGCTAAAACTTCTAATAGTAACTGTATCCACTGGTTAAATGGGAGAGAGTGAGGTGGTTGCCATCTTAGAGTCACTGCTGTTTTTGCAGCAGTGCTGCCTGCCAGCAGTAATCTTCTCTGATTGATTGAGAGATTCGAAGGGATATCATCGTTAAGTAACATAATAGATGGAAATAATTGAATATTTAAATTCATGCACTTCAAAATTAATTTAGTAATTTTGCCCCAGAAACATTTAATTGCAGGGCACTCCCACATCATATGAAGGAATGTGCCTACCTGATTTAGAGGACACAGTGAAAATTTATTTGGTGTTAAATAAAGTCTGTGAACAAAATAAAAATGTACAAATTGATAGTTCGGATTACAAGGTCATATTTTTCCATATTCTGTTCCAGTTAAAGCATCGTTCAGATTCAATTAGATCTGTGGATCACACTTTTTGAATGGCTAGCTCAGAATTAGCTTTCCAAAAGTTGTTTATATGTTATAGAGATCAGTCCTTTCGAGAGCCCAGATAATTTATTTTAAAATCCCATCATAGGATGTTTTCGTAGTTGGGTTTCCCAAGGGACTCCATAGGCCAGCATAGCTGACCTAAGTTGTAAATATAGAAAAAAGGAGTTGCCTGGTAATGTGTATGCATCTTTCAAATCTAGTAAAGTTCTCAAACTATTACTGTCAGTGATATCGGTAAGGTTACGTATTTCACACTTGGACCATTGGGGGGTTGCAAAAAGCCGCCCTCCAGATGGCAAGGTATTATTGTGAAATAATGGAGTATGGGCATGCAATTTTGATTCCCAGTTACAATGTTTTTCAATTTTGCGCCAAATAGAAATTGTGTGAGCAATAATAGGACCAAAGCATAGTTTACATTGTTTAAGGGATTTACTGTTTTAGTGAAGATCACCTCTTACAGAGCAATAGGAAACACCATCTTTCTCTCTATACTCAGCCAGGGGGCAGACAAATCAATTTAGGATGGGGCGAAATGCCAGAGCCTGGAAATAGAATTTAAAGTTTGGTACGGATAGTCCTCCTACGTCTTTCCCTCTTTGTAAATGTAGAAATTTTATCCGGGATGATTTACCTTGCCATATAAATTTTGAAACCGCACTTTGAATTTTATCCCAATAGCCAGAAGATACTGTACATTGTCTAGATATAGTAAAATATCCTCTGCGTATAATGAGATGAAGTGATCAATAGATTGGAGAGAAATGTGTGTTATTTCCTTTGATTGACGAATTGCCTGGGCCAGAGCTTCCATGGATAATAAGATTAGCAGAGGCGAAATTGGATCGCCTTGTCTGCTGCTTCTAGTGATTCTGAACAGAGCAGAGCAGATATTGCCTGTTATAACTATGGCTGAGGGATTGGCATATAGTATTGTAATAATATTAATGAAATTGGAGCCGATTCCCATAAGTTCCGTTCTAGTCAATCAAAATCTTTTTCTGCATCGAGAGATAATACAGCCTAAGGAGCTGTTGTTTCTGATGACACATCTAAGGCAGGGGTTTTCAACTCCCTACCCTACGAGGTCCGGAGCCTGCTGGTTTTCTGTTCTACCTGATAATTAACTGCACCCACCTGGTGTCCCAGGTCTAAATCATGAAAAAATAATGAAGAAAAAAAAGCTATGGAACTGGCTTCGAGGTCCAGAGTTGAGTTTGATGGATCTAAGGTATGTAATAGTCGACGGAGGTTATCCAAGAATAAACGCTTTTCAACAAACCCACTTTTGTCCGTGTGGATCAAGTTGGGTAAGTAAGTCTCGAAACATGACGATAACATTTAGGAAAACAGTTTAATATATGTGTTTATCAAAGATAGGGGGCGAA